TACATGCTAATGAAATGCATTCGTGAAGGACTTAAATTCTCTGCTGACCATGCTAATGTCTTTTTGTGCATTGTAGCCATGATGATACCCTTTTTCCAAATGTTTGCTGGAGGACCTCTGGGTTCAGGACAACAATGGTAAAGTCTAACACTTTCTCTAGTCATCTCTTGCCGTCTCTCTGTGATTCTAACAATCATTCTTGCATAATTCACTGTGTAGGTTCTCTTGGATTCACGTGGATGACTTGGTAAATCTAATCTACGTGGCTCTAACTAACCCATCCTATCAAGGTAATAACATACATACGTGTCCTCTTATGTTATCTAGTAACAATTGCTAGCCTAGAGTAGGTAAAAGGCTAAAGCAGAATGCAATTGTGTTGGTTGTTGCAGGAGTTATAAACGGGACTGCGCCAAATCCGGTTAGGCTTGGGGAGATGTGTCAGCAGCTAGGCAGTGTTCTTGGTCGACCATCGTGGCTACCAGTTCCTGACTTTGCACTCAAAGCTTTGCTCGGAGAAGGTGCCACTGTGGTTCTCGAAGGACAGAAGGTCTTACCCGCAAGGGCCAAAGAGCTTGGCTTTGAATTCAAGTACAAATACGTGAAAGATGCACTGAAAGCCATTATGCAATGAGGTGACACTTAGAACATCGTTCTAGCATTGGATTTGGTTACAGAAATAGAAGAGATTCTTTTCTTTTATTTGACCTTTTTGAGCAAAACTCGAGAGATGTAATGCATGGTCCAAGTGTCTTTAGTGATATCTCAGAAATCAGAGATTTCAGATCTGTAGAGAATATACTTGGAAAAACCAGAAGACTTGTTTCGAATCTATCTCCTTCAGACATAACTTCTTCCTCAACTGTTGTTCATAAGTTCACAGGTGAACTTCAGTCTCCATATCACTCTCTTCGTCAGTCAATGACTAGCTAAAGAGCACGGCTTTGAAATTGAGAACATATATGAGCAATAGAAGAATCTCAGAGCTTATCTTCTGCAGGAAGAACATTAAAGAGCAGATAATTGTAGAAAGTGGCATCAAATCTGATAATAGAAAACACAGAAGAAGCCAGAGCTTTATTAAACTTATTTGTTTTCCTTGTTTGATTCGAGGAGGCATTAGTACTTATAATACACAACATGAGAGGACCATAAATAGACCGAGCAGGACTGATTGTGCGAGTTGATCAACCCCTCAATGAATACTTCTTCCCAGTGAAAGCTTGGAACTTGGGCTCTTCTTTCTTCTCCTCTTCCTCTTGTTTTGTCTCTTTTCCAGCTCCAACCTGAAATGAAATTCGAGATGGACAATCATATGCATTTGTCTCTCAATATTATAGCAGTTTCTGTTTTGCATCATTTTATCAACAAAGTTTGAATGAGTACTTTTGGAGCACGGTTTGCGTTGGCCCCAAACACAAGCTTTCCTTGAGCCTGTCGCGCAGCTCTCTCTGAGCTACTTGCTACAGATGACTGTCCATTACCATTAGCAACAACAGGCTGTTTGTCTTTTAAGCTAGATGAGGAAAAAGAGGCAGGCGGTGGCTCATAGGCAAGAGGTCTCCCATCTAACCGTCTTCCAGATCCCGTGAAAGGGTTGAACTTTGGTTCAGGTTCAGCCACTACCTCCTCAGCTGTGAAATTTGGAGAAGAAAAAAAATATATATTAAAATCTAACAACTTGAAGTTAACCATACCTCCATCTAATGATTCCATTCCATGTCCATGGATACGTACCTTTTGCCGGACCCTTAGCTGCAGCAGGCGCTGTGGGACGTTCAGGCTCCTTGTAATCAAGGGGAGGTGCGAAATCAACCTCACAGTCTGTTTCTATGATGCTGATTCCGTTAGCAGGCTTTGTTTCAACTATATCTATAAAGTATTTCTTGTTGTTGTATGGAACCATAATGCTATCCCCAGTGGTTAGGCATGAGTAATTCCTCAAAGCAGTCTCCAAGCTGCAAGGTTCACTCATTCATCAAGCGGCAACACACGTACGAATATTGAGAACAACAAGAAACAAGTGACAACAGATAAATACGGTCCAGAAAAACAGGAAGGACTTCAATATAATACATCTCCAAGCAATAACCAACATGATATGGGAAAAAGGGAACTACATGAGGACTTGAATACGAGAGGTTGAAGATAAGTCGGACTCACATGGCTTTTGGATTAGATATATCCAGGAAGTCTGTGGTGTGGGGCTGCAGTTTAACATAAGTCCCCTTTGGAAGAGTGACATTTCTAACTCTCACAATGTCTCCTTCTTGCAGAAGCAGATTCTGCATCATCTGGATTAGATCAAAGTAGCAAACAATCAGTCTGGTAAAGCTGCATGATACCGAGTATTTCAATTATGAATCAAAGAGGAAACTGATGCTTACCCAATATGGCATGTAAATCATGCCTTCTTCTGCAATGAACTCAAGGACTCCACAGTGAGAAACACGTTCAATTCCAGCATTACGAAGCTCAAACAGCATCGGATAGTCAATATGCAAAGAAGCTGCAAAGTTTATTCGATATTAGCACTTTGATATTTTCCTAAGTTGAAAACATAACAAACCAAATCCAAAGGAGAAAACCAGTGGTAACATACCCAGACGATCAAGGGCTGATGGCGGCATTATAACTGAAATAGATTTAACATAAGTCACACTTCAGGCTTGAACAATATACAGATCGTAAAATTGACTGGAAACACACATGGTGTCTAGATTAAAAAGACTTACTCTTGTCACCGCTTTCGAGTTGTGGCTGCAGGAAGAGAGAAGGAAATATAAATTAGAACCCAGAATTCAATCAGAGGTTTGCTATAGTAATCAGTTAGCAGAACATGAAGATGACTGAGATTTTAACATTACAAAAGAAATAAATACCGCCGCACTACTGGTCAGAATTATTAATCGAAAAGTAGACAGATAAAAGCAAACCTTGTCGATAAAAGATGCCGGATAACACCGATAACTCTGCTCAAAGGTCGTTCCATGATAATGATATCCATCGAAAAACTGCATTGTGTGAAGTCCCAAAGGTTTAGACAAACCAACGGGTGAGTGATTATTAAGCTAGATTGCAAGATTAACAATGAAAAAAGAAACCTTTACGGATAAAACCTGAAAAAAACACTTACCATAGTTTTACTAGTAGACAAAGAGAGCAAGTTAACGCAGGCAACCAACTTTCAACCTACTAAAAAAAGAAAAGTCACAAGATTTAATTAGAATGATCACTACTGAGTAATCGAAATCAGAAGATCCTACACATAAATTTTAGGGTTTCAATACTCAAACATGAATAATCCAAACCGATAATCCCTTTGTGGGCAACAATTCCGTCCAGGCGGAAAATGAAAGTTCGTGACTTTTTCGAAAAAACAAAACTGAGACCTCAAATTCGAATCTCAGTAACAAGATAAGAAAAAACCCAAGATTCGAAGAATGACTAGAACTCGCAGCAATTGAAACCTACCCACGAAGATTAAGATCCTTAGAATCGTAACTTAAATTCACAATTTAGGATTCACCGGAAATCCCAAAGAAACAGAAGAATCCGATCACAAATTCTGCTAAGTGTGAGGCGATCAACACAGAACAAAAACCGAAAAACCTATAGAAAAAAATGAAAGCTTGCCTCGAGATTATCATAGGGAAAGAGACCCAAAACTATTATGGAGAGTACCGACCATTAAAATTACCTGTGTGAACCAGAAAGGAAATCGATTGCCTTCTCGGACACAAAAGAAGTAGTAAACTTGGAACTGAGTTCACCTTCCTTTGTCTTTATATATACCATACGGTGCGTATTGGTCACATACACAGTTTTGGGCCTGAAGTAATTGCTTTTGGCCCATTGTGATAGCAAAAATCATTGGATCATCTTCAACAACGTGTGCATTACCAAAAACACTCGACTGAGAAACTGGATTGAGAAGAAGAAGAGGTGAAGAAAATGGAGATAACACTGAACAGTGGTTTCAAGATGCCGATCGTGGGATTAGGAGTTTGGAGAATGGAGAAGGAAGGGATTCGAGACCTTATCATCAATGCCATCAAGATCGGTTATCGCCATCTCGACTGTGCTGGTACTATATATTATCTCTCAACTTTCTGTTGTTCTGGGTTGGTCTGGTGATTTGAATAGAATATTGGGTTTTTCAAAAGCTGGGATTTTTAGTGGAAAAATGTCTTAGATTTGGGTTATCTAGTCTCTGCAAACTCTTTGTTTTTAACTGAATCCTCCTGAAATAACTTATATGTAGATCTTTCTCAGGATTTATCTGCATCTGATTCTGTAGTTGTAAGTATTTGGGAGCATAGAATGATCTAAGCCTTTTTTTCACTCAAACTTTGAGCTTTATTAAGAACTTGAAAACACATGATCTTGATGAATTTGGTCAGTGAACCAGAAAATGGAATTAACAAAAAAACAAGTAGAAAAACAGTGTCCTATGATAGCTTTTTAGTTGTTATATAAAAGTCCAGTTTCTTTTATGGGAAGCTTTGTTCTGTCTTGTCTGCTTATGAGTCTTGTTCACATTTGATTATGTAAACATCTTTTGGCGTGTTACTTGGTGCAGCTGATTATAGGAACGAAGCTGAAGTTGGTGAGGCTCTTACAGAAGCTTTCAAGACAGGTTTGGTCAAGAGGGAGGATCTCTTCATTACAACCAAGGTCCAAACGGATTCTGCCAACTACATAGCTATGATTTCAATCGATTTCCAGTTGGAATAATGGAGAGTGAGAAAACTCCGACCTCTAACTTGTCTTTGTTTTCAGCTATGGAATTCAGACCATGGCCATGTTATTGAGGCATGCAAGGACAGTCTCAAGAAACTTCAACTTGATTATCTCGACCTTTTCCTCATTCATTTTCCTGTAGCCACTAAGCACACCGGTGAGATCTCTGCCTTATTCATGTATTATAAGTCGCGAGTAGAGACCATTACATCACAAATCCTCTTTTTAACCGGCTGAAATCAAGTTTCTGAAGTCTCTAGCAATTGGTATGCGTAGAATAATAAGCTGTGACATATAAGACTTCCACTTTCTATATGTGCTTGTAGGAGTTGGAACAACCGATAGTGCTTTGGGCGAAGATGGGGTATTGGACATTGATACGACTATCTCTCTGGAAACTACATGGCATGACATGGAAAAGCTTGTTTCTATGGGTTTGGTCCGCAGCATTGGAATCAGGTATTATAAGCTACCACTAAAGAAGATCTTCTTAAATCATATCGAGTGTCGGATTTTGTAGGTAGAATAAAATACAATTTATCCGTCCAAGTTCTTTCCAATATCTATTCAAGTCGTTTTGTGTAGTCACTGTTATCTATCTGATCTTTTTTACCATTTGGTTCTTGCAGTAACTATGACGTCTTTCTAACGAGAGATTGCTTGGCTTACTCCAAGATCAAGCCTGCAGTGAATCAGATCGAGACACATCCTTACTTCCAACGCGACTCTCTTGTCAAATTCTGCCAGAAGCACGGAATCTGTGTCACCGCTCACACTCCTCTCGGAGGTGCCACAGCCAACGCCGAGTGGTTTGGTACCGTGTCATGTCTGGATGACCCAGTTCTCAAAGTAAGCCCATCCTCTACTAAAGCTTAACGTTTGACAGTTAATAGAGGACTATGTTTATCTGAACCCTTCTTCTGTTCTTGATACGCATACAGGAAGTGGCGGAGAAGTACAAAAAGACGGTGGCACAGGTTGTCCTGAGGTGGGGAATCCAGAGGAACACAGTTGTGATACCAAAAACATCAAAGCCTGAGAGATTGGAAGAGAATTTTAAGGTTTTCGACTTCGAACTGACGAAAGAGGACATGGAAGTGATCAAAAGCATGGACAGAAAGTACCGTACGAACCAACCAGCCAAGTTTTGGGGCATTGATCTCTACGCCTGATCACACGCTCTTGTCTCTCTCTATAATCTATATGAATAAGAGAAGAAGCCATAGCTTTTACTCGGACATTCTCAAATGTTGTGAGCTTATTATATAAACTCATGTGAAACAGATTATGACTGTTTTCGTTAGTCCAATAACACATTTGATATGAAGAAACGATACCACTGTGAGAAGAAAGCAACAAAGCTTGAGATGGCCCAAGCTTGTAATAGCTATGGTATGTTTCGTGGCTCAGTTTTTGGAAGCCGTTTAGAGAATCAAAAAGTAGAGAAAACACAGCTTCAAAGCAAGAAGGTCGATGGTTGATACATGTGTGAAACGAGTATCTGATCTCTTTGTTTATGGAAGTCAGCCATTCGAACAAGATCATGTTGTCGAAGAGATTTCCGCTGTAGAATCAGGCTGTGCGAGAGATTCAGGGGAGGAAGAGAGTTATGATGCAATTATGGAGTTGACTTATTTTCAGCAGAAAGAATGGATTCTACAAAAGGATTCAACTGATTTCAAACTGATTCAGAAAGAAAAATCATGTGCAACGACGAATTCAAGTATGGAGATTACTTTTATGGATCAAACGATCCCACCAATTCAGGTAACAAGTGCTAAACGGGAACCAAGCCTTCAATGTCACAAGAAAACACTGGTTTTTGCTAAGGATTCTCAATCTGGTATTGGTGTGGTTGAGTTGTTTGAACATCGAGAAGAGAGGTTACAAGTCTCCGATGTGAAAGAAATGGATGAGTTGTATGGAAAGGAGACTAAGCATCCTTTCTCTACCATTTGGCTATTGGATGCTCGAAAAGGATCATTTATATCATGACTGGAAATCAACTGAGCAGTTCATCTTCAGCTAACCATGTGTGGAAGCCGGTTGGATTTGATGCTCTCAAAGGAGCTGCTGTTGCCACGTTCACAGTGGGGCATTCTAAGAACTCTTCAACTTCAATTTTCGTCTATGAGATGTTTGGTTTTCCTAGGCCACCAGAGCTACCATCACCAAGTAAGAAACTCTTCCCACACGTGATTGATGTGATTTTAGGGTCTGAGAACGATTATGAGAAGAATAGCCAGGCTGGAATTTTGTGGACTGTTTCCATTGATCATAGAATTGAAGATGAGCCAAGAAGAGTACTACTATCTTGTGATGACGCCAGGTATAACCTTGAGGACAAGATTAGTCTTTCAGGGGAAAGTAGAACTAGGTGTGCAAGACTGGATTATATTGGTATATAGTTGGCGTTGATAAGGTGGACAAACACAAGGACTACTTCATAGGAAGAGCTATAATTATCATCTTTACTATGGAGACTCAAGGGTATTTATTTAGATAAGAATAATTATGGAGATGGAAAATGATGACAGGGCTTATGGTACCAGTAAGTGACCATAATGTCCCAACGTATATGTTGGTTATGCTAGCGCATCAAGGTCTAATAGGGCACGTCTCAGAACGGGAGGAGAAACACTTGAGAATGGATGGTTTGGATGTGGAGCTTGTTATGAAGATTGAAAGTCCACCGGAAAGAATTTTGGGTAAACAACCTCGAGATCCAGGACGGTTCAGCAAGCAAAATCAGTGTGAAGTACAAATTTGGTGGAGATTCTTGCTGAAGATACTGTTCATCAAAGGGTTTCGGGAATGTGACACTCCCTTCAACATGAAGTTGTTTCAAGAAACTTCCAAGAGGTGCACTGTCACTTTGTGGAATGGACGCTTAATACATTGGAATTCCTTGAAGAAGCAAGACGGTTCACTCTAGATTTTGGTGGTTCTTCATTACAATTTAACAACAACAGTCATTGCCAAGATGAGAATAAGGTAACACTAAAGGCAGCGCACAAGGGTCAAGGTCATTCTGCGGATCGTTTTGCTGGCTTTCTCACCTTTAACTTTAAGGTGTTCCATTTTAAAAGGCCACCAGAATTGTTAGTCACGCTACATTCTGCCTACAAATCAGTCGCGGTAATGTTTGAGTTAGGCAAAACCTTGTGTTACCTCTTTAAGACAATGCTTACAACTGCGGAAAGTATTATTTGGATATGGAAGTGGTTATGTGCTAGATGGATTGTAGTTACCACTTGGAGGAGCACACATGAGAGAAGAGAGATCACCAATTTGCTAAAAGCCTCCTGGGGAGCAACATGGCAACTCGAAGATCGGGCTTCATGGGCCTGGAAAGTGAAAGAGAAAAACGAAGCCCAAATTCATATTATCTTTTAACGTATTTAGTTATTTACCATTTTGTGCCATACGTTGAATACTATGTTGCTTTTGTGTGTATTATCAAACATTGTCTTCTTCCTCTACTATT